CGTACCTGCCGCCCCTGCTGTTGGCGCCATACCTCATCGCAGTCCACCCAGATTCTGCGGTGGCGGCAGAGGGCCTGGATGTCGCTGTGACAGTCGGCCAGGTCCGACAGGGAAGCGCACGCAGAACTCTTCACTGTCGCCTGGGTTGTAGTGCCCCTGGCCCCTGCCCTTGCCGTCCCTGTCGTCGCAGGCGCGGTCCCAGCCTTCCACGAACATCGCCCCGCTGGTGCCCTTGAGCCAGTTGATGACTTCGGGCCAGGTCTCGAAAAGATCCGCCCTGCGGTTCCACACCTGCCCTCAGTCGATGTCGCGCCAGGGCACGTGGTAGAGGCTGCCATTGGGGTCTTGCCAGCCACGCCGGTGGTGCGTCGACTCGCCTCCCCCGTGGGCGGGACTGGGCGCAAGGTTTGCGCTGCGCCGGGACGGTGGGTCGTTTCCGGCGGCGCCTAGTCCGTCGCCGCTGCTCCTGGACCAGGTCGACCAGTCGGCGGCGTTGTGGGTGCGCGTGGCTCTCCTGACCATGGCTGCGAGTGGGGCGCGGTTTGTAGCCAGCCTCGCGTCCCCCCTGGTGGCGCCGTCAGCAGCGCCGCCCGCTGTGGCGCTAGCCAGGCGGCCGCCGCGGATGACCCGGGCCAGGTGCTGGTGGCCCACCCGGCCCTGGGGGCACAGGCAGCGCCCTGTGCGGACCTCGTCGGCTGTTCCCACATCGCGCCAGAGCGGCGTTGTGCAAAAGTGTAGGTCCCCGCCCTCCACCCTCGTCCTCCTGCGCGTGCCGGCCCGTGGCACAGTGGTGGTGGGCGCCGGCGTACCCAACGTGCACCTCGGGGGCCAGCCCCACGCGCTGGTGGGAGACGTCTGGCCTGGCGTCTGGGCGGAACCTGCGGCGAGGATCCGCCTTGTTCGCCGAGGCTGCAGCCTTGTTCGCTGAGGCCTCTCCTGCAGCAGCGCCGTCATCGATCCTCGTCGTCGTCGCCAGGGCCAGGTGGGCGCGATTGGCCCCCATCTTTGCCCCAGTCTGGGCTGTGGCTGGCATTGGGCAGTGGCGACCACCCCGGCGGGCTCGTCGTAGAGCCCCTCGGCTGGAGTGGTGGGGCCGCCGACCCCTTCACCGTCGGCGGCGTTCGCAGCGACAGACTGCTCCGCGCCAGGGGCTGTTCGGTTCCCCGATGGGGGGCCACCCCGTCCAGGGGCAGGGTGCTCGTCCCCGCCGCTGCCCGCCTGTGCAGGGTGCGCGGACCTGCCCTGAGCTGCCTGGCATGCCGCGGTGGCCGGGTCCGCCCGCTCCGCAGCTGGAGCCGCCGAGCCCCCTCGAGCGGGAGCAGCCGCGCCCAGGGCGGAGGCCGCGGCCGCGCAGCCGGCCGCATCCTCACGGGCTCGCTGTCCTGCCCGCAGCTGCTCGGTTGGCAGGGGCTGCCCCGGCCGTGCCCCAGGCGAGGGCGATGCTGGTCGGGCGGGGAGCCGCGCGCCGGTGGAGCTGCAGGGGCGGACAGTAGCTTGCCAGCAGCGGGGGCTCCAGGTCGCCAGTGTCCTGGCCCGCCAGGAGTGGCCCCAGGACCTGCTCGTGGTACCTCGCGGAGTCGGTGCCACGGAGGTCCGCTCTGAGCCCCAGGAAGGCCTTCCAGGGGCCCGCCAGGTTGTCTGACCGGGTGCCCAGGCTGCCCCTTCTCCTGCCGCTCGTGGCGGAGAGCCAGGCGACCGCGCGTGCCAGGGCCGCGCGCCTGGCATCGGGGATCCCGCTCTCGGGCATCGTGCAGCCGCAGATCTGCTCCAGGAACTCGGCGCGCGCGCCGTGGTCCCAGCCGCGAGCGTCGAGCCCTTTGGCCAGCGCGCCCTGGGCTCTTCCCGGCGTCCGGTTCGTCGGCGAAGCCGTGCCGCGCCTCCTCGATGCCTGGGTGCAGGCGCATGGCGGACAGTCAGCCGTGACGTGGCCTGTCGTCGCATCCTCCCTGCTGGGCCTGCCGCGCGGGTCGACCTGGGGGGGGGGGGCCGGGGCAGGGGCAGCCGGGGAGCGGCTGGCCAGGGCTGGGCAGAGCGGCGGAGCCAAGGCATCCAGGTCGACCAGCATGTCGAGCAGGGGAGCGACCACAGAATTGATTTGCCCCAGAGTGGAATGTTTCCTTCTTGAATCCACCTGCAACTCGTGGAACCTTCGCAGATCTACGAATGGTTGACGGCTTCTTTAGTGAAGAGTCGACGTGGAACCCAAGTTTGGGGTAAATCGATGCTGCAGCCCATCCCCCAGGCGAACATTTGTGGAAGCCGGGGCGCGGGCGGCGCCAGGGTCGCGCGCGGCTCGCTGGGGAGGAGCGGCGGGCAGCGCGCAGGGCAGGCGGCACTTGCCCGGAGGATCCTGCCACGCCGGAAGCGGTCGGCCCCAAGCTTTCTGGAAGAAGTCCACGAGAGGAGGTCGTCTTTCGGCCGAGCGGAGAACCTGGCAGCGCCCTCCTTGGCAGGCTGGGGGGATCTGTGGGTCTCCGGCAGCACGCTGGCCGCCGGCTGGCCCGCTTGTCCAGGCCACCAGGTGGGCCGACATGAACTGCCGACTGCACGTAAGAGTGACCTTTCGCCGGAGTGACCTTTGGTGCGGGCCCAATGGCGTCCACCGATCGCCGACCGCGATGCGGTATATTGGCGTCTTGCGCGCTCGGGTTTGGCCCCCCCCCCGCGCGCACCAAAGGTCACTCTCACCCAGGGTCGCTCCTGCGTGTAGCCGAAGCTGCTGGCATGTGCCAGGTCAGCTCCACGCGCCGCGGTCCAGCTGGCCAGCGTCCAGGACCGCTCCGCCGTCCCGCCGGGACGGCAGGCAACGCCGCAGGAGCGACCCGGGCAGAGCAGCCGGCGACATGTTGTATGAGCTTCCGGGTGCTCCTGCTGCAGCAGCCGGCGCAGTGTAAACATTTGCGGCTGCTCCGCAGCCTCACCGCACGTCGCCGACCGACCAGGTCGATCAGCTCGTCGTCGTCATCGTCGTCGTTGTCGTCGTCATCGTCGTCGTCATCGTCGTCGTCGTCGTAGTCGTCGTCGTCGTCGTAGTCGTCGTCGTCGTCGTCGTCGTCGTCGTCTTTCGTCGTCGTCGTCGCCGTCGTCGTCGCGCGCCGCCGGCCGAGCGCCTGCCCGGCTCGGTCCCGCGGGCCCACGCGAGGACCGCCGCGCGCCTCGGCGCGCCGCGCCCCGTGGCCGAAGGCTCGCCTCCTCTGCTGCAGGGCTCGGGTATAGCCAGGACCCCGGGTAAGGTAGGGGAACAAGAAGTGGCATAAACAGAAAGACTCCGACCTCCGAGTTTTTATGTTGATGTCACTTTTTGTCCCCCTATAGGGGGGACCCGGCTAGTGGTAGGGCCCTGGGGCCCCTCAATTGGCCAGATACACGAAGCCAGGTCTGCCGTAGCTGGTGTTTTTCGGGTGGCGGCGGTTCCGGGGTTCGTGGAGATGGGAGGGGGGGGGGCGCCCCCGGTTCAAATCGCTAAACCAGGTTCCACTAAACCCAGTTCTGCCAGCGCCCGAAAGGCGGCGGCGCCCCAGCGGGTGCGGCACGCCGCGCGAAGGCCGCGCGCCGCGCGGGCCAGGGCGGCCTGGGCTGTCACGGGCCTCCAACGTGTCGAGGGAACTCAGCTCCAACGTGTCACGGGCCTCAGGGCGGGCGGCCGACGATCCTCGCAGCGAGGCCTCCAACGTGTCACGGGACTCCAACATGTCACGGGCCTCCAGCGGGCTGTTGGGCTGTCACGTGCCTCAACGGGCGTGCGGAGACGAGGCAGGACAGCTGCCCATAATCTCCGCCCTTCCCTCGTTTTCCTCACTTTTGGGCCTCCCCGGAGGCCCTCGTCGCCACCGCCGGATGCGCCTCTCGAGATTTTGGTCAGAGCGCACCCTGGCAGAGGTCCGTGGAGTAGCGGTATCAGCTCCTTTTGGTTTCCGCAATGATGATGGTGAAGATGATGATGATGATGATGATGGTGATGATGATGCTGATGATGCTGCTGCTGATGATGATGATGTTGATTTTGATGCTGCTGCTGATGATGATGATGCTGGTGATGATGATGATGATGATGAGGATGATGATGATGATGATGGTGATGGTGATGGTGATGGTGATGGTGATGATGATGATGATGATGATGATGATGATGATGATGATGATGATAGCTAATGGTGTTGATGGTGATGGTGGTGATGATGATGATGGTGACGGCTATAATGCTGGTGATGCTGACGATTATGATGATGTTGATGCTGATGCTGATGCTGATGCTGATGCTGATGATGATGATGATGATGATGATGAGGATGAGGATGATGATGATGATGATGAGGTTGATGATGACGATGGTGATTGTGATGACAGCGATGATAGCGATGATGCCGACGATATTCGTTGTGATGCTGGGGTTGATTCTGCTATCGATAAGTATGATGAGTATCGTGATGCTGATGGTGCTGATGATGTGATGATGGCGATGCTGATGATGAGAACGCCCGATAACTCGAGGCCGAGGTTTCCTCACACTCTTCGGCCTCCGGGTGCCCTCGCCGTGCCTCACGGGCTGTCCAAGCAGGGCTCCGGGTGAGGAGGCCAGGCGTATGGCCGGCCCGGACGCGTAATTAGGTCGACCATGCCCAGTCGAGGGTACTCTTGCGTCCTCGCCATCAAAAGGGCCCAGGGGCACACAAGCGAGTATACACAAATTCCATGATCCCCCACACTCTCCCATGTCTTCCGGGTTCTCGTCTTCCCCCTCCCCCTTTCCCATAATTTGTCCATAATTGCTTCGGAGTCGACGGTTCATTGTGTCTGTGTGTGTGTGTGTGTGTTTTCCCCTCCTAGTCTATCCCGACCTATGCAAACCGCATGCCCTGTGGTGCTCTGGGGCCACGTCGCCGTCGGCAGAGTCTCGTGTCCTCTCGGGCGTCCCGTCCCTTCAAGCCTAACTCTAATCGTTGAGAAGCTCCAGGCATCAGGGGCCTGGGCTCGAGCAGCTCCCGGCCGGCCGGCCCGAGGACCTGGAGCCGCTGGAGCAGCTGCAGGAGCTCCTCCAGCAGGGCATCCCGGCGAGCCGGCGGGAGCAGCTCTGGTCGCTCGGGGGGGGGGGGGGCGGTGGGCTCGTCCGGGCGCCGTGCGCCGTGGAGCGAGAGCCCAGCCATTCTCGCGCTGCGAAGAAGTTTCGATGCGAGGTGTCCTCCTCCTCCTCCTCCTCCTCCTCCTCCTCCTCCTCCTCCTCCTCATCCCCCGTTTATTTTTGTCCCGGCCATCCTGTGGTGTCGGGTCCTCGTTTTGAAGAGACGGTCCCCACGTTCCTCCTTCCTTCCTCCTCCCCCTCCTCCTCGCTCCTCCCGTCACCACACCCATGTCGGTTCACCCCTCACACGTTTCGTGGCCCCATAGGGAGTGAGCTCCACCGAAGGCCCCAGTGGCTGCGCCCGCATGCGTCCCCAACACCAATTTCGGTACACCCCTCACACGTTTCGTGGCCCCACAGGGAGCTCCACCGAAGGCCCCAGTGGCTGCGTCCGCATGCGTCCCCCACACCCATTTCGGCACACCCCCCACACCATGGGGAGCTCCATCGAAGGCCTTAGTGGCTGCGCCCGCATGCGTCCCCCACACCGATTTCGGCACACCCCTCACACGTTTCGTGGCCTCATGGGGAACTCCACCACAGGCCCCAGTGCCACCGTCCACATGCGTCCCCAACACCGATTTCGACACCCCTCTCACACGTTTCGTGGCCCCGTAGGGAGGTCCACCGAAGGCCCCAGTGCCACCGTCCACATGCGTCCCCCGCACCCATTTCGACACCCCCCTCACACGTTTCGTGGCCCCATAGGCAACTCCACCGGAGGGCCTTAGTGCCACCATCCACATTTGTCCCCGACACCCATTTCGACACCCCCCCTCACACGTTTCGTGGCCCCGCAGGGAGCTCCACCGAAGACCGCAGTGCCGCCGTCCGCATGCGCCCCCCGCCGATTTCGGCACACTCCTCACAGGGTTCGCGGCCCCATTGGGAGCGCCACCGAAGAAGATATTCACACTCGCGGTACTCACAACTGCACATGGTTGGGTCCTTCGCCAGGCTGATTTTACATGCGGTGGCCCCCACTGAGCCCCGGGGCCGCCAGAGAAGGACCCGGGGTGAGGAGCCGGCTCTGGGGAGAGGGCCAGAGCTGTTCCAGGGAGACCGCGTCTGGAAAAGGCCAAGACTTTGCACGTCTGGGAGCGGGTCACAATTCGCTCGTCGGCACCCCCGTCCAGCTCTTTCGCTGGTGCAGCCAGGTCTGCTTCGCCGCCGACGGAAGACTACCTGGGAGCGGCTCTTGAGGGGAACGGGTCCTGAATTTGTGCGCCGCCTGCTCGGGCTCTCAGGGCCCTCCCCAGGCCCAGGACCCGCATGAAAGAACCCAGGAGGAGGAGGAGGAGGAGGAGGAGGAGGAGGAGGAGCCTGAGGATGAGGCGGATGAGGAGATGGGGATACAGTGGAGAGGGAGGAGAAGATGACAAGGGGGCGATGTCTGGGGGAGGAGGAGGAGGAGGAGGAGGAGGAGAGGAGGGGAGGAGGAGGAGGAGGAGGAGGAGGAGGAGGAGGAGGAGGAGGAGGAGGAGGAGGAGGAGGAGGAGGAGGAGGAGGAGGAGGAGGAGGAGAGAGGAGGAGGAGGAGGAGGAGGAGGAGGAGGAGGAGGAGGAGGAGGAGGAGGAGGAGGACGAAGAGGAGGAGGAGGAGGGAGGAGGAGGAGGAGGAGAGGGAGGAGGAGGAGGAGGAGGAGGAGGAGGAGGAGGAGGAGGTGGTCTGGGGCGCAGGGCCACGTTGCCGTCATGGGTTAAGCCGTGTGTTCGATGCGCGGCGCCGCGCGTGTGGGCACGCGCGGCACCGTGCATCGGACTGGTCTGGCACACGGCTGGCGCGTGCGGCGGCATGCATCGAGGCGGTCTGTCACATGGTTGGCGCCGCGCCGTCCAGCCATCGTTGTCCGCCCGAGGAGGAGAAGGGACGAGGAGGGAGGAGGAGGAGGAGGAGGAGGAGGAGGAGGAGGAGGAGGAGGAGAAGGAGAGGAGGGAGGACGCAGAGGAAGGAGGAGACGAGGAAGGAGGAGCGCAGGAGGAGGAGGAGGAGGAGGAGGGAGGAGGAGGAGGTGGGCGCCGACCAGATGCCACGCCAAAGGGGTGCAATCTGGGGGGGGGGGGGGGCGCAGGGTTTCCAGAGCCGCCCGCCAAGGAAGCCTCGCGCTGGAAGCTTACGGTTTTCTCCGAGGCCGTTCCTTGGCGCCGGGGCCGACCGGGTGCGGCCGAGGATGCAGGAAGGCGGCCCTCCTGGGGAGAGGGGTCGAGCAAAGGTCCGGGGGCTGGCGGCCCGACGGCAGCGAGCCGCCGCCGGATTGCGATTGGCCAGATCGGCGTGCGAAGAGCCCTGGGTCCGAGACGTGTCGCTGGCGGCGCGCGCGGGGGCGTGGCCCGCGAGGGGCGTCAGCATTCTGAGAGGGCGGGGTGGGCTTCTGCTAAGAA